AAAGCACACAGCCGTACAGATGGATAAGCGTTTGGGGACTTCTGGGAAGAGTCCTCACACAGGGACCCATCCCTAGCAATAAAGATCTAAAGCAAAGTATTTCCAGAGATGCTTTCTGGCTCAAAGCAGGAGAGGAGTGGGAAACCCTGCAGCACACTGTTCACTAAACAACCTTTAACACACCAATTCATGGTAGCTTTCCTTTTTGCCGACAGGGACCCTCGGTACTTGACCAGAGCCACAAGGCTAGTAACAGGGTCTAGAACTCAATGCAAGTTTCTAATTTTAAGTTCAGTATGCCTTTGTACTAAATGGTTGTGTTTTTAACTTTTTAAGTTATAGACTTGGGGATAGAAATGTCTTTTTGTGCTTGTTAACTCCGGTGGCTCATTTCTTATTAACATGGGATTAAAGATATAATGGCAATCTTGACTGAGAAAAACTGAATCCACTCTGAAACTTTGGGGCTGGATGAGATCAGTAAGGACAAGAGGGACAATCAATTCTGAGTTTCCTCCTAGCACCCAGAAGAGATGGGCATAGAAGCCTGATACACCATGAAGAACTAAATTCTACCAAAGGAGCCAAGATGCCTCTTTTCATTCTCTGCATGGGTTGTAAGGTGACGAAAGACAGGGAAGTCCCGACTTCAAGTCTCATCCCAGGTATACTCTAACCCTAGGCGACAGATACGCCGGCATCCACACATCCAGGCACGCTCTCAGCCGCAGCGATCATTTGTTCCCTCTCCAGTGATCTGATGCGCAGCCTTACATCCGAGATACATATACCGAGTTCAGAGAAGTTAGGTACAATGCTTGTTTTACTGTGTGAAAAATAATCTCAAAAAGCCCATTTCTAAATAACTTTCCTCATCTGGATTAACTTGAGGGGTCTTTAGAAACACAAAGGTCTGGGTGCTTCTCATCCTGGCCAAACAGCTACAGTTTTGACACTAGAAATATATCAAAATATGAGGTCTATCCCAGCATGACAGCATACACCTGTAATCCTCAGGAGGTGATGGAAGCAGGAAGATTAGGAGTTCAAGGTCAGCTTGGTCTATAACAGACTGTCTCAAAAACAAAAGACAAAAAAGGAAAAAAAATCCAAATCAAATCAAAACATGACTTCCATGCCTATATATAGTTAAAACATTCGTAAGAAAAAAGAAAAATATATGTAATTCTGGAACATGACTGCTGAGCTTATAGATCTTTATTACATAAGAAGCTATATTCTCAGCCAAGGAAGATGGGGCTTGGCTCACAAAACTACTTGGGGCCAAGTGTGATGAATCCCAGGACCCATATTTTGGAAGACAAGAACTGACTCCTGCAAGTTTTCTCTGACCTCCACACAAGGGTGTCCTCCACCCCCAGTAAATCAGCGTAAAAGAAGCTACTGTGTTCATTGTGGAGCATTCTGTGCTGTATATGGGATTCAGCAGCACCCTTTGTAGTTACTACTGGGTCTGCTCCATGTTTATCCACCAACGACATATCCACACACTGCCTCCGAACAGTCTGGCTGAGAACTGTTACTTTTGATTGAAAACATTTATTATGTATGCGCTTGGGAAGGGGTGGGCAGTGTGCTGTGGCGTGAGTGTGGAGGTCAGCGGACTGCTTCAGAAAGTCATTTCTCTCCCTCTACCTGTAGATGGGTTCTGAGAATTGAACTTGGGTCACTAGGCTTATACGGAACCATTGACAGCTGGTATACTACTGTTTTAAAGGAAGTACTAAGACACGACAACTCTCCCAGATTACCTGCCCCACCAAATCACCCTATTACAGCGCCCTTTGAGGCACATCCTTTTTAGGAATTCTAGACAACAGCAGGACTGCAACACTAACTACAGTGAGCTGCGACAGGATTTCTTTGGGGACTGCGGCTGTATGCGGTCATCTTGCCAGCTCCAGCAGGTGACAGGGCCCTCAGCGGACCACTAGGTACTTGCCCTGCTTTCCTTGCCGTTAGACAGCACAGTGGGCTGTGTCTGACGCCCAGGGCTGACGCTATTCTGGCAGCAGAGCAGAGGAATACTGAATCCAAGCTAAGATGAGACTGCCCTCCCAAGTCTGGATAAGTTCATGTGAGCTTCCTGTGTAGTTTTGGAGCCTGCCCTGAAACTCGCTCTATAGATCAGTCTGGCCTCAAACTCACAGAGATCCGCCTGCCTCTACCTCCTGAGTGCTGGGATTAAAGGCATGTGCCACCACCGCCCAGACTGAAAGTTGTTTTTTTTTTTTTTAAAATGAAAAAGAATGTCATTTTGTATGCATGTGGTATGTGTGTATTGGTCCAAGGCGACTCTGGGGAGTCGGTTCTTCCTTGTCCTTTCCACCTTGTTGAGGTGGGGGCTCTCGTTTCTGCTGCTCTGTCACACCAGGTTAGCTGGTCCCTTAGCTTCTAGGCAATTGTCCTGTCCCATCTCTCATCTTGATAGAGCAGAGTTGGGATCACAGACGGCCCCAGCTTTCTGTGGGCTCTGGGGACTGAGCCCACGTGCTCAGGTTTGTGCAGCACAGGCTTCTACCTGCAACAGCAGCTCCACGCTAGTCTTTTTGTTTGTTTGTTTGGTCTGGTTTTTTTTTTCTTTTTAAATTTTTGTTCACCCTATCCACATGTGCCTGGTCTGGTTTTATGAGACAAGGTTCCCTAAGTACTTCCAGGTTGTCCATGAACTCATAGTGATCCTCAGGTCTCTGCCTCCCATTGGGATTTCAGGTCTGTGCAATTACTTCTCAGCAAACTTTGTGTGGGTATGTACCTGCGTGTGTAGGTGCTCACAGAGGCCAGAAGAGGCGTCCAGAGCCCTTGGAGTTGGAGTTACAGGCAGTTGTAAGCTGCCTAACGTGGGCGCGGTGAACCAAACTCAGTTCTTCTAGGAGAGCAGGAAAAGCTTTAGATCAGGAGTTCTCAACGTGTGGGTCGGGACCCTTCTGAGGTTAACCGACCCTTTCCTTTCACAGGGGTTGCATGTGTGATATCCTGCATAGCAGAAATTTACACGGTGATTCCTAACAGTAGCAAAATTAGTTATGAAGAAGCAACAAACAATTCTAGAGTTGGGGATGACCACACATGAGGAACTTTACTAACGGGTCACACATCAGGAAGGTTGAGCAGCACTGCTCTAGCGCCATCTATCCTTTCAGCTCCTGCAGGATATTCTTACTTAGGTTCTGTGGTTCTAGACTTCTTGTGGACCCCACCCTTCAGTTATGACAGCATCACCTGGGCGTGTGACCTTAGGTTACAGGTAATTTCAGTCTCTCTGATGAAGTTTGGGAGCCACTTTGGTCTCTGTAACATTTGCAGAGAGATCATTGCTGAGGGTGACTTATTATTTTTATAAATCTTTGTGGGTTTTTCAGACAAGGTAGTCCAGGTTACCTTAAAGTCATTATGTAGCCCAGGGTGGCCTTGGACTCCCAACCCTCCAGCCTTTACCCCGCAAATGCTGGGATGACAGGCAAGGGGTACCACATCTGGCTGATTAACTTTTTATAAACCTTGTGCCAAGGTCTGTGATTTTTTTTTCTTTTTTTTTTTTTTTCGTTTTCCAGGTTACTGACTTCTGACAAAGGCAGGTAGGTAGGAATTGCGGTGGTTTGCTTTTATTATTTTTGTTGTCTTTTTAGGTAGCTCAGGAAGGTTTTGTACTTGTTATATAGCCCAAGTTGGCCTCCAACTCGAGGTGATCCTCCTGCCTCAGCTTCCAGAGTGCTGAGATTAGAGAGGGATGCCACCACACCCCTGCAGTGACTTATATTTTAGAGAAAACTATAGTTCACCTTACCAAACACTGCGTTTTTCTCAACGTAAGTCCTCAAAGGCCTTAACAGAAGAGATGACCTAGTCACATTAAGGGTGGAGGGCTCTGCAAGGTTGGTCTGCGTGGCTACACAAGCAAGGTCATAATCCTGGGCTCATAGCTTCTGTCTTCCTGCCTTGTAGCTCTGATTTAGTATCGTAAGTTCTTTGCGAGCAAGTATCCTATTAACTTCCATATTCCGATCCCTCTGGGCACCGCGCTCGGAAATCTCTCCGGAGTCTAGGTCAGGTACTTAGATAGAGCAGGGTAGGGGTATGATGGGGCGAGGCAGAGCCCCAGAAATCCCTCATCCGATCCAAATCGCAGGCAAAAGGCAACACTTGGGTCTGACGGGCAGCTTCCTGTGACGGTTTATGCATCCTCACCGTAAGGGTTTCCCGAACCTTCTACGGGGCTCGGGACACAGCTCCGCAGAGACCAGGCGCCCTTTCCCTTCTATGCCTCCTTAATCCTCTCCTTCCCAACGTTCCCGAGTCGAGGACCCCAGCCCTGGCTCGCTCCTGGCACCGGACCAAGGAACCCACAAGTGGGCGGGCCAGAGCCACCGCAGTCCAGCGCCGAATCCGGGTTGACCGGGGCGCCGCGAGTTCGCCCCGCCTCCCGCGTCACTTCCGGCCCGGCCGCTCGCCCTCCACCCTGCTCCCCTCCCGCTCGCCGTTAGGGAGGCTCCGCGCCTCAGTCACCACCGCCTCTGCCGCTCCCGCCCCCTTCTCCGCGTCTGCCGCCGCCGCTGCCCGGGGTCTCCGGGGG